GTTAAGTGAATATGGCGGGGGGGGGTGGGCGGGTGCTGCATTTCAACATAACATAAGAACGCTACTGTCTTGTTTTTGGCATTGTAGGGAAACATGCTTGCAAACTTGACTTCTTTTTTTTTTTGTAGTCTACCTATCCATCTATCTTTGTCATTGTCATTTGACAGGTCTTGTCCGTAACGAATGTAGCATCAGTAAGTTGTTGGGTGTTTTTGGAGTCTTCGATTTTGGTTTCAAATAAACACTACGAATATAATCACAACTTCGATTTTCCTGTTGAACCCAATGTTACAGTCACTCTCCCATAGAGCGCAGATAAACGTCAAGCTTTGAATTAACTAAAGCTCAAGGGAAATGCTGATACGCAGGCCGTGATGCGGGCAAGTTTTACTCTTTCTTACACTAACTTTAAAAACACAAGGTTATCAGGAAAATCTCCCATCTTTTCCCAGTATCTTTCCTTACTTTTCTATATAATCTCCCAAAGGACTTTTGAAGAAGTGAAATGAGGCCTAGTCAGAGGTCAGAGCTACACAGCAGAGAAAGCCACAGGATTTCTCGGAGAAACATCTGAAGCATAAGGAAATTTAACATGATTATGACATTTTAATCAAATATTAAGATGTTATTGCAGTAAAGACATCTACTGTTACAAAAGATTTGTTTCAAATAAATGCTGTTCTTTTAATCTTTCTGTTAAAGGAGTAGTTCACTTCCAGAACAAAAATGTACAGATAATGTACTCACCCCCTTGTCATCCAAGATGTTCATGTCTTTCTTTCTTCATTCGTAAAGAAATTATGTTTTTTGAGCAAAACTTTTTAGGATTTCTCTCCATATAATGGACTTCTATTTAGTTCTCTTTAGTTAATTGAATTGGATTCCATTCACCAAATGAAGCACCATCTTGATCCAAGTATACCTTGTACAGGTGCATCTCAATAAATTAGAATGTCGTGGAAAAGTTCATTTATTTCAGTAATTCAACTCAAATTGTGAAACTCGTGTATTAAATAAATTCAGTGCACACAGACTGAAGTAGTTTAAGTCTTTGGTTCTTTTCATTGTGATGATTTTGGCTCACATTTAACAAAAACCCACCAATTTACTATCTCAACAAATTAGAATATGGTGACATGCCAATCAGCTAATCAACTCAAAACACCTGCAAAGGTTTCCTGAGCCTTCAAAATGGTCTCTTAGTTTGGTTCACTAGGCTACACAATCATGGGGAAGACTGCTGATCTGACAGTTGTCCAGAAGACAATCATTGACACCCTTCACAAGGAGGGTAGGCCACAAACATTCATTGCCAAAGAAGCTGGCTGTTCACAGAGTGCTGTATCTAAGCATGTTAACAGAAAGTTGAGTGGAAGGAAAAAGTGTGGAAGAAAAAGATGCACAACCAACCGAGAGAACCGCAGCCTTATGAGGATTGTCAAGCAAAATTGATTCAAGAATTTGAGTGAACTTCACAAGGAATGGACTGAGGCTGGGGTCAAGGCATCAAGAGCCACCACACACAGACGTGTCAAGGAATTTGGCTACAGTTGTCGTATTCCTCTTGTTAAGCCACTCCTGAACCACAGACAACGTCAGAGGCGTCTTACCTGGGCTAAGGAGAAGAAGAACTGGACTGTTGCCCAGTGGTCCAAAGTCCTCTTTTCAGATGAGAGCTACAATTCACTAAAAATGTTTTTTTTATTGGTCTTATGAAGTATTCTAATTTGTTGAGATAGTGAATTGGTGGGTTTTTGTTAAATGTGAGCCAAAATCATCACAATTAAAAGAACCAAAGACTTAAACTACTTCAGTCTGTGTGCATTGAATTTATTTAATACTGTAGTTGATGATGATTATTGTGGCAAATTTTCTTGTAACCATTTTATGGAATTAAGCTTTTAAATTTGTGTAATTGTTGATTTATATTAAATAATTCAAATATCTTTGGCTATATAATTGAATTTTATATATGTTATATTTTATAAATTAGAATATATAATTGTACGTAGAATTTGTGTTAATAGATTTTTAAATTTATATTGTGAAATATATTTTAATGACATTTAAAATACTCTACGATTAAAGGGGTGGCTCACTGTTTTTTTTCTAGGCTTGATTGTGTTTATGGGGTGCAGTCTAACATGTGTTAATGCTTTGTTTTTAAAAAAACGCATTATTTTTCACATAATTTACCTTTATTCCACACCGCTCTGTCCCTTCTCTGTGAAACGCATGGATCATTTCCTGCTTTTATGAAGCCCCGCCCTCAGAAATAGGCAATGGGCTCTGATTGGTTAGCTCAGAGCGTGTGCAGAGCAGGGGGACGCGAGGAACAGTATTAAGAACCGCTGCTTTAGAACATTGATTTTGAAACTTGTGAATCCATTAGAATCGTTAGAAGATAGAATCGCGATTCATATATGAATAGATGCACCTCTAGTTTTCTCTTCCTCTTCTCTAAAGCAGCGCAGCATGGCCTCGCCCCCTTTGCTGCCTTTTCCCGAGGGCGGGGTTTATCTGGGTTTGTTGCGTCACGAACCCGGGAAGTAACTTGTTGTAGTCCCTACCAGCTGTTTTTGTAGGCATTAAACTGCCAGAATTTTAAAAGATGATATCTCCGTTGCATTGAACTTTCAGCTTCGTAACTTTGCAGATATTGTTTATGCTCAGACAGCAACATTACACACTAACTAGCGTTAAAAAAGTGAAATGTCAATGAACCACCCCTTTAAAATATTCTTGGTCAGTAGGATTTAAAGGAAATTATTATTTTTACATAGCAAAGTTGCACTAGATTGGACAAAAGTGACATTTATAGTGTTCAAATAATTAATCAAAAATTACTAAAAAAGGAATCACCATTTTCACCAAAATACTAAGCTGTACAACTGTTTTCAATATGAATAATAATAAGAAATGTTTCTTGACTATTTGTTTAAATGTTTTCTGAGGTGTCATGTTTGCCATCACAGGAATACATTGTTTTAAAATGAATTAAAATAGAAAACAGTTTTAAATTGTGATGTTTCACAATGTTACTGTTTTTATATATTTTGTATAGTTTGTGTATTCAATGTTTTTATATATTCTTTTCCATTTATTTATTTTAGCCATAACAACAATAAAGAAATTCAATTACTAACAACTTCTGATGATAATTTTCTGCGAAGTTTAACAGTTGATCTGCTGTAATTAGATAATCTAAATATCTAATTAGATTTAGATGATTATTTTCACATAGCTCGCTGTTTAAACCATGAATAGTTTTTTTGAATCCTAAAAGTTATTGGCCACATAGCCAGGAACTTTAATTTTTGCTCTTGTTGCCAAATGTTAATTTGCCTTTCCTGTAACTGACACATGACGTAGAGCAATTAGAGACTATGTACATATGTTTTATTGTCTTTGTTTTTTTGTTGTGTCTTTAGTTTTGGAGTGATCCCCACCACACCTCTCGCCATGCACACTCCACTGATGCCCAGCCAGAGCATCGACATCTCCCTCCCTCTCAACACCATCGGCCCCGTGATGAAAATGGACCCACTCAACAACCTACAGGTACAATGCATTATTGCCTTTTGCTGTGTATTTTTATGTCCTTTCTTTGCATTACTCATCCCACAGGAAATAACACATTACAAATATGCGGTTAATGTTCAAATGACATCTCTGTGTATCCAAACCTCCGAACTCTCATCTGCACATCACGCACGATTGAGTCAGTCGTCCCCACGTGCTTCATTAGTTACTGAGATCATTTGTGTGAACAGCGGCTGCAAAACATTCAATTTCATGCCTTTAAAACACTCTAGATAATGAGTACTTGCCCACGGCATCTAGTCTACTAATGCAGATAATCAATCAGATACAAATGTCATTATGAATCATCATCGTTTCATATGATTTATATCGACATGTTTCTGCCTCATTACTTTTACACCAGTGTGACGGTTTATCTTCAGATGGACGTCCAACAGTGTTTGCTCCAACTGTTCCTTCCTTTAGAATTCATTTACACCATGATGTCCCAGCATATTTCCTCCTCCACCTCTATTTTCTGCCTGTGACATCCTGCTGGGTTGCTCTCTTTGCTTCATGTGCCCCCTGTTTAAAGATCACCTTCTGTGACTTTTCTCCTCTTCACTGTTGTTAGTGTCAAGCATCTGGGTATTCAGTATTAAAATGAGCTGCCTGCAGAGTGTTTATGATTTGTGTTAATGAGTTCAGCTTTCTCATGAGCTCAAGAGTCATCACTGTAAACAGCAACTGAATGACCTTTGAGTGGCCGGGAGATGCTATGACCTGACCATGTCCAAGTTAATTAAACGGGTGTATTTAATATCGTCCTGTCATCTCAAACCTGTACCAGTTTCTTTCTTCTGTGGAACACAAAAAGATGCATTTTGCCGAGTGTAGCAGCCGCCTTTTTCTGGAAAATTTTAAGTTGGCATAAAATAAAAATTCAACATCTCTATTTTGTACATGCATGTTATAGATTATTCTGAATGATTCATCCAAGTATATATATATATATATATATATATATTTACATACATGTAATGTGAATATGTATAGACATATATGACATATATGGGCTTTTAGGAATACTTCATTGTGCTTTAAGCTTGACTTCAATGCTCTGCCATGACGCTTTAAGCTTTAAGCTGAAAATCTTTTAAGGACTTCCACATTTACGCTCCGTTTCCAAACAGTTAAAATGACAAATAAATGCATACTCTGAAAGCGCTCCACAAGACATGTGAGATTATATTACTGGATGCTCGAAATTGAACGGGAGAATGCACGTTTTAAACTGCTTATTGTACAGGTTAAGTTAATCGGCGTTCTAATCTAATGCGCTGCTGCATTGTAACGCACACACATTACAGACAGTAGCTCTATCATCACGCGCAGATCGCGCGTGCACAGAATAATTCAGCGCGGAAATGTATTGTCAACACTGTTCTGTGATTTCTCAATAAAATAGCTTTGAAACTGAAAAGTTCAAGCATATATTTCTTAATAACTAAATCCCACAGCTACACTTCTTGTAGAAAGACGCTGCCAGGTAGAATTAATTCAGACACGCAATGGCTCTCACTAATGCATTCATATGAATGTAATCTTTGCTGTGCTACTTTATCTGTATTCTGATTTAGAACGAGCAGAAATCTGTGAGAAATATAAAGACCCAAAGACAAAAGAACTGTTAAAAATGAGCTGTTATAGGAGCAATAGCCATGTGGGCAGCGCTGTGTCATATGCCATAGTTGTGCACAAGGTGTTCGAGTCTCAGCAGTATAACCAAAAATGAAAATTTGCTAAAATGTACTCACACTCAGGTCATTGAAGATGTAGATAACTTTGTTTTTTCATCTGAACAGATTTGGGGAAATTTAGCATTCAGTAAATGGGTGCCATCAGTCCAAAACAGCTGGTAAAAGCATCACAATAATCCACAAGTAATCCACACGACTCCAGTCAATCTATTAACGTCTTGAGAAGTGAAAAGCTGCAAGAAATAAATCCATCGTTAAGGTGTTTTAACTTTAAACGTTCACTTCTGTCCAAAATAGGAGTTCGTAATTCATAATAATAATAATAAAAAGTCCATCCTCTTCTCACATCAAAATCCAGTGCCATATTTGTTTAAGACTGCGCTTTTATGAATTGTGGACTCCTTTTGGAAGAAACCGTTTGAAGTTAAAACAGTTTAAAGATGGATTTGTTTCCTACAAGCACTCAGATTTTCACTTCACAAGATGTTAATAGATGGCCTGGAGTCAATTACTTGTGGATTATTATGTTGTTTTATGATGTTTCTGACGGCACCCATTCACTGCAAGTGAGCAAGTGATGTAATGCTAAATTTTTCCAATTCTGTTCCAATGAAGAAACAAACTCATCTACATCTTGTGCGGCCTGGGGGTGGGCAAATTTTCATTTTTGGGTGAACTATTTTTAAAACTAGAGTTGCAAAAATGTGGAAAATTTCCAGTAAATTTCGGAAATATTCCAGAAATTTTGGAAACTTTCCAGGATTTTTTTTGAATATTCCAAGGATTTTTTGAAAGTTTCCGGAAATGTTCCACCCCTTTGCAACCCTATTTAAAACCAATCCACATTTTTTCCTTAATTAGAAAAAATAAAAAAAATAAATAAAAAAAATGCAACGGAAAGCTCTTTTTCCATTTGGTGAATAAGGACAGCATCAAAATGCAGTCGGGCTGCAGAGACGTTTTAGACCCTTATACAGTGAAGTATATTTAAAAGTCTGACCACTCAACCTTTCTCACCCCAGGTGGCTGTGAAAAACAATATTGATGTCTTCTACTTCAGCACGCTGATCCCTCTCAGCGTCTTCTTCGTGGAGGATGGCAAAATGGGTACAAGCACTATGCGCACACATGCTCAATCTAAAAACAGTTTCACACTGAGGTTTAATAAAAGAGTGGATTGATTGGATGTAACTAGGATTGAACACACTTTAGACACTGACTGGCTAATCCCACGTGATAATCTTTAAACTTTTCTTCAACAGAGCGTCAGGTGTTCTTGGCCACATGGAAGGACATCCCAAATGAGAATGAGCTGCAATACCAGATCAAAGACTGCCACTTAAATGCAGGTGAGATCATCTAGCCCTCAACATGCATGACTCGTGAGTTTGTTTTAGAGGGGTTTTGTGATGTATGGATCAGTGGTCATTGAATCAGAGGCGGATAGAATAGAGGAAAGCTTACAAATAGCAGGGTAACAGCAAAGGATCTGTTTGCCAGAGCGCACATACCTCTTTCTAGTTTGGGCTCTGCCCGTATCCAAACTGGCACCTGATAGAGATAGCTGCAACCTGCTACAGTGTGTCTGCTTGAAAAACACCCCCATTTTTTTCATAACACGGATACTAAAAGCCAGTTTATTTTCCTTAGAACAATATCTTAATAGAGAAACTAACTTCTTAGTTTCTGCATTCTAACGGGTGATTACAAATCATGAAACAGGTTTATGTTCCCTGACTTGGCACACTGCAGATGTAAATTTATTCATTAATAAAAACGGTAACATCTGTAAAAAATCGCAACAGCCTCATATTTTTAGGGTAAAGTTAGGAGTTAGGACTCTAATTGGAATATAATTAACCATTGGTTAATTATTGGACATCTACAGTATCACACAATTAGATCATGATAACCAAAGGTAAAACCACACAAAGCACCTCACTACCATGGTAAATGTAACTATATGGTTTGGTTTCTACAGTATTTGTATGAAAGCAGCCTAAATATATTTAGTATAAACAAATGCACAAATGCTATAGTTTAATAACAACCATTAGTCCTTTAATACATTTAATGTACGTCTACATTAATATAATACAATTCCATATGTATATCTCGTATTTCAGCTACAATACCATGGTGCAGTTAGTGTTAATACAGTAAATCCATGGTAAATCCATGTAAAAGCCCTCTAATGGAATTGTTCATGGCACAGTGTTTCTCATGTTTGTCAGTGCTGTTGAGAATGTCAGCACTGTTGCATTTGGCTTTAAACTAAATCACAGAGACATTTGTGTTCTTCGCTGAATTCGAGTGCTTCTTAAAATTGATTGCTATAAATTTTGTTTGTTTAATTTTGTTTGTTTGTTTAATATTTAATTAATTTTGATATCAAAGGGTATATTTTTGGATATATTTTGATTCTGATATAGTGTTGTGTGTGTGTGTGTGTGTGTGTGTGTGTGTATATATATATATATATATATATTAGGGCTGTCTGTCGATTACTATTTTAATTAGTTAAAAATAACACAATTAAAATTAATGCACAGGCCCCGCCCCATCTTACATTTCATACAGTTGATTGTTGACAAATATAATGCAGGGCACGATTACAATTTTTAATTTAATTAATTACATGATGTCGATTAAATAAATTTGACTGTGAAAATACCCACAAAAGATTATTTAAACGTATTTTTGTGTTAAATTAGAAAGTATCAAGTAGACATTACAAATTGTAGCTTTAGAAAGAAATATTTTATTTAATTCAACATAAAATTAATTACACAAACATTTAGGCTACAACATCCTAACATAAACTTTGGAACATAAAAGAAGATAATTTAAGAAACATCTCAGTATTTTTTGTTCATACAGTGAAAGTCATTGGTAACTAAAACAGCTTTGTTAACAACAGTCTTCAAAATACCTTCTTTTGTGTTCCACAAAAGAAAGGATTGAAACAACATTCTCTAATTAATGACAGAATTTAAATTTTTTGGGTGAACTATCCCTTTAATGTTTTTTTATGAAATGATACTCTAAATAAGAAACTAAATCTGCCAGCAGGTGGCGGTAAATATCTTCATTCGATTTGTTCAAACAGCTGATTCGTTCAGGAATTAAGTAAATGGCTCTCTTTATGAATGGGCCTTTGAATCATTGATTCACACGATTCGTTCAAAACGCGGATTCATTCAGAAACTAAACACTGCTGTGTTGCTCAGAGATGCAAAACAATTCTGCTATGGCTTTAAAGGTAATATGTTCTCTGCAAAATTGAGCAAAAACATAACATTGTGTTTAAAATATAACACGATATCAACTTCTTATTTATTAAACTGTTGTATAAAATCACATGTAAACTCGTGATATTCAGGACAAAATCAGCACTCGTGTAATACTGCTCTCCCTGTGATATCGTATGATATATAAATATGTGACAACTCATACAGGCATTTTTTGCACCGATATTTTGAATTTTAGGGCATAACTGCATTTATGGAGTTATGGCCCTGCATCATATTTGTCAACAGTCAACTGTATGAAATATAAGATGACGTACAGGTCTGTGGGCGTGAAATTCAGTGCAGTCCTGTATCTTGATACGTATCGCATCGTGGCATCTGTATCGTGATACGTATCGTATCGTGACTTTGCTGGTGATACACAGCCCTAGTATGCATCACATTTTCCTAAAAAAACATTAAGCAGCACAACTTTTTCAGCGTTGATAATAAGAAATGTTTCTTGGGGTTCAATTATATATGAGCAATATCACACGAGTTGAATAATATTATTTAATAAACACAACAACAACAGCCATCATAAAAGTTGCTAGGCAATTCAGTCAAAAGTACAAAGGCAGCGCTCTGATATACAGCATTGAATTTACATAAAATATAACGTGATGAGATTTTGCCCTCAACTATTTGCTCTGGAACAAATTATAGATTAATGAGACCAAAGACTGCCCGTTAGATTTACCCAAAACAAACAAGTACATTCTCGCCTTAAAAACTCTTAAAGCTACTTTTCGTGTCACAAAAACAGTATTATTTTTTTAATCATCGCCATGACACTCGCTGTGAGAAATACTGTTCTGTTATTACTATAATATCACACTCTTATCAGCCAATCAAATTCAAGGACCAAAAAGAACTGTTGTGTAAATATAATTTGATATACATATATATCTGGGAATGGTTCACAAATTTTATTCAGTATAAGACATGACAATGTAATACATTCTAATCTTACTATTATGTTTTTTTTACACTCCTTGTATTACAGTTTGCACAGGCCTAATTATAGTCACAGACAGTGTTGAATAGCATACATTATTGATTTATGACTGTGACTTCATGATGCTCTGATATTAAGCCAACAATTGAATTGTTTGCTTGAAGCTTTATTACACAACATCCTCTGCACAGTTTGAGATTTCAAATTTTAAAAAAAATAACAGAAAGACTCTCTTGACTCCAAAGTAAGAAAAAAAGAGTTCCCACCATTCTGTTATTATTCATACTTAATTATTTAGTCTGGTGGCAATGTTAAAATGTTGTGGAACGTGGCGGGTTGTGCACAGACTCTGACAGAGCTGGTTTATTTCAAGGCTTATCAGCTCGCTATTTGTATTCATCAACCTGGAGCCAATTTGAGCATACAGACACAGACGTGTGGGGTGGAGGAGCGCCGAACACAGGACCAGCACAGAGAGCCTGTTTCACTCTCTGGAATTATTGATCAGATGCCCAGAGGTGCCTTAATCACCAGACGTCAGACAATCTCACTTTCACTGCTTTCATCTGCTCTCATTTTAGCAAGCACACACACGGCACACAGATGCACGGTTTTATCCAGCCGTATAAAGTGTTTGTGATCTGATCTTCACATGTAGTTCATGCAAAAACAGCAGTAGTTTGACAAATCCAGGCTTTGATCTCCCGCCCCCCTTCCTCTGATGCCTTGTTTTGGGAGGAGAAACCATGCAGTTCGGTTTCAGTCGTGTTTATTAGTATGTAGAGAATAATCGATTGGCTCTTGCTTGCCATGACTTGAATAACAATGTGAATGTAATGGAGCGCACAAATGAGGGCAGGCTATAACAGAATGCCTTTTCCCACACCGTGTCCATTGCTGTTATTTGTAAAGGACTGAATGTTTTCTCGTAGAATTGAATTAGTCGGAAGGTGTTTGTCGTTTTGTTGTTGTTGAGACTGGCTGATTTGTTCTTTATCAGGATGCAGTCGCAGTTCTCGAGTCCAGGAGGATAAGATAAGATCCTCGTGTCCGTGGATCAACAGATTCCTAATTATGAATAATTTCAGCACTTAATTCAGCAGAAAATAAACATCACTAATTAGTTTTCAGCGTTAATGTTTTACAACCGTTTACAAACCTCATTGATATGCTGCAGAATTGCTGCCTGTACATGAACGTTACAAAGATTAAGAATAATTTCATTGCTTCAAACAGGTTCTCATCTTTGGTGTGGACAGGACGTTCTAATTCTTTACAATTATGAATGCATTTATTTTGAACTTTTTGAATATCAGCTGACACTGATATCACTAGACCAATTCAAAATTTAGATATTTGTCATTTTGAACAATTGTTGTTAACATCACTGCCAGTTGTAAGTGATAAAAGTGCAATTATACCCATACAAAGATATGTTGGACTTAAATTGTCCAGACGTTTGAGGTCAGTAAGATCTTTTGCCATTTTTGAAAGAAGCCTCTTATCTTCACTGTATTTGATTACAAATACAGTAAAAACTGTAATATTGTGAAATATTGCAATTTAAAATAAATGTTTTTTTAGTATGTTTAAAATGCTGATTTGGTGCTCAAGAAACATTTATTATATTTATTATCAGTGTTGAAAACTGTTGTCACAATTATATTCTAACATTTTGTGCCAGTTATGTATTCAAATTGTTTGCAAAAACTGAGATGATCATTCTTGCTGCAAGATGTGACAGCAATGACATCTGTTACATTACACTCATATTTTGTGGTGCTTATTGAGACAAGTATCACCAAAGCTGTTTTTCATATTTTGGTTGAGGGTTTGTTGAAATCCCTAACCCAGAGTAATCAACATTAGCCTGTAACTCACTACAGTTGTGAATGATACCTCAAGTCACGTGGCTTTGTTGAGGAGAGATGTGCTATTACTTTTCTAAGCGGTTAGACATGCAGTTGTCATCTGGCAGGTGATAAAATGGGTGAAAATATCCCATAATTGGCTGAAATATCACAGAGATGCAGGTGGACTCTTCAGCAGCCACATAGCAATGTGCTAAAAGTCATTTCATACACTTAAGCAAGCACATAGC